GCATAAGAAATAGGATTGCCAAAGAGTACTTGAATCAAGCCATTTTTCAGACCTGTATCATTTTTACTAATAGCATTTTCAGAATCAGATTCCTCCAGATTGGCCTTTACAAATTTCTTTGAGTGTTACCAATTCACACAGTTTACCAAGACTGTTCTGACTGTTCCCAGTCTACTACGTTATCTCTTATGTGACAAATCTTTTGGTTAATCACTAGATTTATTAACTATTTTGTTCATCTTTGGAGTGTCCTAATCACAGCTAAGGACTCATGCTCCATATTCCAAAAAGTCTCCAAATCTCCTTCACGTGTCTCTAATATGCATTCTTGTAGCCAGAGTATCTCTGCTACTCTTTATTTAAAATAATGAGCTTTTAAAGTCTGTTTTACCTTTTGAAAGGTCATCTGATTGAAACGGTGAATTCCCATTTTACACGATTATGATTACATATGAAATATCTTTTGAATTTATAATTATAATGTGAGAATTTGAAAACCTTTAGTTTTACAACTACACCATGCTAGAAATAAAGTTTCTTGTCCAAAATGACATAGTAGGTTAATGTCACCGCCTGAGCTACAGAAGCTGGTAAATTTTGGCAAACATTTTCCCTCCAGCCTTTTACAAGCTTCTTAACATAGTTATTTCATCTAATTTAATATCCTTATGTTCCCCCTTACCATTATATTATTTGCATTTTTCCATGTAATTACATGATTCTCATGAGCATTATTTTAATGCAAAATGATCAGAATTTCCATCTTTTAATATTTGTTAATAATAAGGTGTTTAACATTATCCTTTATTTTTCATATATTGTATTTCCTTATAGTTAATTTTTAGAAATGGAATTTCTGGATCAAATAATATGAACTTTTTTAGGGCTTAAAATATATATTAAAATTATTGTCCTAAAGAATTTCACACTGTCATCAGCAATTTTATGCAAATAGTTGTTTCAATATAACCTTGCTAACTTTATTATAATCTTTAGTGATCTTTACTAATTTAATGTTTGGAAAAAGCTAAGTCATTTTAATATTATTGCATTCTTTATTTTCAGTGATATTGAACATGTTTTCATATGTATTAAAATAATTGTTTTTCCACTTTTTTAAATGATTTCTCTCTGTAATATTGTCTTTTTATTTATTAGGTTTTTTAGTATTTTTGTTTCATTTTGCCATATTTCCTGCTTTGTGCCACTAAGTTTGTTACTTTTTTAAATTTTAGTTAACATATAGTATTTGTACATAATGAGTACATGATTCCTTATTATTCCTATGTCTAGAACTCCCTCTTTTCAAAAGTTGCTAAATATTTACTTATATAGTATCTTGTAATTTTCATGTAATTTGGATTATTTGAATTATTTCACTTTTTAAAACTTAAGGGATTTCATTTAGAGGAAGTTGTGAGATAAAGGATTTAATTGTTGTATTTTTTCCAGAAAGTGAATTGTCTCAGATTATTTTATTGTTAAAGGATGCCATGTAATAATAGATTTAAAAAAAAATTTAAGATGATTTGTAATGATTGGATATTGCTTCTCTATAAATTGCATACTTTAATATAGTAAGAATGAAAGAAAAGGCATTTATTTATACAGAGATTAACATCTTGAGGATTGTGACAGTGTCTTTTTTATCTAAACATCCAGCAAAATGTTTAATATACATCAATTGAAATCAACATCTTTACAAGGCAAGGATAAACTTAAAGAAAGAGAGGCTTTATTAAGGGTTTGCAAATCGGGGAGGTATGCCTCAACTCATAAATTGGTAGATGAGCTGTGAGCAGCCCTCCCACCCCATCTTGGGGTGGCTGGGCTTATGAAGGCAAAAACTGCAGAACATGCAAGGCTGCGTCCAATTTCTGATTGGTTGACTTTTCCAGTTACAGTTCATCTTGTGCCTGGGGCTTTCCAAATGTCCTAACACAGGAAAAACTTCAGTACTGGTTCCGACCATGGGGCACCAGTCCAGGTTTTGTAATTTTATGTTTCTGGCCGCAGTTCAGCCTTGAAGTGGTCGTGGTGTCCATCACATCAACTCTGGCCTCATTCTTATCTCTTTCTTTTATCATATATAGTAGCCATTTCATAAATGTTTGGTGAATAGATAAAAAGTGAGCGACATTCTGTACAATTTCATTATGCTTCATTATTATATATTATTGATAATTTTCTCATCCTTATTATTAAGGAGTTTATAATTTTGCTATTTTATTATACCTTTTAAAGTGTGAAATTTTTAAATAATATTTATTTTGAATGGATTCTGGAGATATATTGTTTCCAGAATGATTTTTTAAAGTTTTCTTTTTATTACAGTAAAACATATATAATAGAAAATTTCTCATTTAAGCCATTTTAAGTGTACAATTCTGTGGCAATAATTAATTCACATTATCTGTTTCCAAAACTTTCACCACCTTAAACAGAAACTCTAATTATTAAGCAATAACTCCCATTTTCCTTTCCCCACAGAATAGATAAAAGACCATGATCCAATTAAATGCTGTCTACAAGAGGTTAACTTTAGATCTAAAGACATAAATAGGTTGAAAGAAACATTGTGTAAAGAGATGTTCCATACAAATAGTAACTGAAAGAGGGCTGGGTGGCTAAACTAATATAAGAAAAAATAAATTTTAAATTGTTGTTACAAGAGACAAAGAAGAACATTATATATTGATAAAAGTGTTAATTTAGCAAGAAGACATAACAATTATAAAGTTATATGCAGCAAACATCAAAGCCTCAAAATATATTAAGCAAACATTGACAGAATTGGAGTGTTATGACTTTGTTAAACTAACATTTGTTAAATGGAGCACAGGTTGCTGGATGGTGAGCTTCTGTTCAACAACAGACCACAGGAGACATTGAAATATAGAAGTTTATTATTCACAAGTCCTGGAGGAAGGACATGCATGCTTGAGGACCACATGGGCAGGTCAAGGCAGAGTGCAAACAGGGAGAGAGACAAGACCTGGGACACTTGCCTTTGTTGGGGTCCATGAGTGGAGGCTTTGAGGTTCCTGGGCTAGGGCCGGATTGGTCAATTCAAACCAAAAGAATGGGGTTTTGGTAAGCCCCACGAGGGTTTCATCTAAGGGGTACACAAGGCATACTGGGTTTGGGGAGACAGTGGAGACTGTTGATCACAAGGGCTGTTGAGGAAGTCACATATCAGGGACTTATATTTGCTTGTGACTCTGCAATTGCCATGTAGGGCATGCACTTCTATGAGGGGCTAGTGTCAGTTTAAGGTCCCTACAGGCTGCTTGACCAAACAAAACGGATGCTGGTATCAATACCAGGGAGTAGCTTAGCTAAACTCTCAACATGGAGGGAGAAATAGACAATTCTACAATAATAGTTCAATACCCTACTTTCAATAATGGAATGAAAAACCAAACAGAAGACCAATAAGGAAATAGAGAACCTGAACAAAACTATAAGCAATCGTATCTAACAGACATACACAGAACACTCTACCCAATAAGAACAGAGTATACATTTTTCTCAAGTGCATATAGAACATTGTCCAAAACAGACCGTATGTTAGGACACAAACTAAGTAGTAATAAATTTTAAAAGATTGAAATCATACAAAGTGTTATTAAATACTTTAATAAAAGGGTAATAAGAAATGCAATTCATATATAAAATCATTCTTTTTTTCACATGGCTTTATGTTTAAATGAATTATTGAATCACGTTAACACCACCTAACAAAGTACAATAAACACACAATACACTCCACTATAATAATACGTCTCTTAATGGAAACTTCTCAGAAATGTACACTAGGATTATTGACAAAAACTACAGGGTCTCATTTCATTTCTAAAACTTCTTTGGCCCATTTAGTCATGAGAGAAACATTGGACAAATTCCAGTCAGGGGCATTGTACAGATACCTTTCCAGTACTGCTCTATTGTCAAGGGCAGTCTGACAAGGAGCTGAGAAATTGTCACAGCCAAGTGGAGCGTAGGAAGACACCATGAATAAATGTAATGTGGTATCCTGGATGGAATTTTCTACCAGAAAAAGACATTATGTTAAAACTAAGGAAATTCAAGTAAATGATGGACTCTAGTTAATAATATTAACAAATAATATTGGTTTATTAACTGTGAAAATGTACCATATTCAAGTTAGATATAATAATAGAGCAAACTAGGTTTGGGGTACATGGGAATTCTCTGTACTATCTTCTCAATTTTTCTAGAAATTTAAAAAAAATAAACTCTTCTCACCCACAAAAAAACTCTTAGGACTTGTCAGTGGGGTTCCATGTCACTCTATATTCAAGCAATAAGTGGATGGTTACGTTTTAATTAGCGTTTTACTTCTCACGTAGATTACGTACTATCTATACTTACTTCTGCAATATTAGAAGATGGCTTTTAATCAAATAATCATATAGACTGAGATATTATAGATTAATGGCACCAGTTTTATAAAGTGCTTATTCTAGTCCAATCTCATGAGAGCACTATGTAAGTTTTTGTTGGAATTGTTTATTCAGACTGATCAACAAAGCTACAGATTATTAGGTTGAGCTTCAAGAGCAAGTTTTACAGAATAATCTACAGAGTTATCAATTTAAAATCACTTCATCACTTCTTATGTTAAAAAGAGAGAAATGAATAATAAGTGTTTTTACTTATTCACTGGCATAGACATATGCTTTAAGAGCTGATTCTTATCTCATGACGATATAAGACAGGATACTCAAATTGATTTATATATGTATATGTTTTGAAATAATTATTTCATGAGTACAAAAGCTATTTCTGAATATTAAAGGATATAGTGAATACTAATTTATAGGCTTTGATAAATATATTTTAATTTACTTTTTAATACTGGGATATAGTACTAACTTAACATGATTAACTTTTACCACTTCAAAGAGGACTATTTCTTGATTTGAATGAAGATGTTAATTGCACTGACTTGCATTTGCTTCTTTTTTTCCCTTTAGGCTGTACTTTGGAGGTATAAATTTTCTCAGCTGAAAGGTTCTTCAGATGACGGCAAGAGCAAAATCAAATTTTTGTTTCAGAATCCAGATACTAAACAGATTGAAGCAAAGGTAAACCCAAGAAATTCATACACGACCCACCTGTAACTACATTAATACCAATTAAAAAGAAAGGGAAAAAAATTTAGGGGAACCAAAAGAGCAAAAATACATTCTTTGTTTAGCTTGGAATATCCCTCATGGCCAAAAGAATAAAGTCACTTTAAGATTTTAATGGCAAATTTTCACTAAATGGTATAAATTACACACAACTAATTGCATTTCTCAGTTTTAATTCCTTATGAGCTGCACTTGTATCACACTACAATAGTATTCTGGGAACCAAAACAGTTGTTTTCTTGGTGGTTTCGCATTCTAAATAATAATTTAAAATAATTTTTAAAAATTCTGACTCTATTTTATCGTTATTTATTCTCCCTTTGAATATGAATACAAATTCCTAAAAAAAATTTTTTTTGAATCAATTCCTGTTTTCCCCATTTGTTAAGCAAAATGAATAAATGAATGACTTTTTGCTTTGCCCATGCAAATGTTCAGTATTCGGAAATATATTAACTATGCTGTATTTAACTCATCAGAAAGATTCACTGCTTTTATTTTTATGAATACGTATCTTTGTAAATATTCAAAATCTGAATTATTTCTATTGCCCTACTGTGAAATTCACAATAACAATGTTTGGGTTAAAATGAATCATAAATATATTATCCCAGTGTGGAGGAAAAGATAAATAACAAATACCGAAGTGCAAAATTAATTCAATGGAAATGAAAACTCAAATATGATTTTTCAACTGTGGAATAAAATTGCCATAATTTTGCTACATTCCTGTAATTATTAGATTCAGAGGGAGAAAGTCTGAGCCTAACATTCAAAGCCTTCCAAGGAATGACACTATGTGATATTCCAGCGCAAGTCTCTTGTGACACTGCTGTATATTCAGATGAGACACTCTCGTTCTTCTTTTAACAAGATGACTCCTTTCTTGCCTTATATGTCTCCTAATGCTTTTCTCTTAACTTTTCTCCTTGGCCTTTTGTCTGAATCTCTCTCAGATACCCCATTCCTGTCTTATGTTTGTCTGTGGACTTATGTTGCTACTTCCTCTGTAGGTAGTAAGACTGTCGGTTATTTAAAGAGGGAACTGTGGATAGAGCTCCCTTCTGCTGGCTCCTTTCCTGCTGCACTTTTCTAAAGCATTGGTGTTACCCATGGTCTTGCCTTATATTTGTTTCCTGTCAGTTTAGGCAAATGTTTTGGTAACTTCATCCACTTTTTTTGTTTAACTTTCCTCATAATTTTCAAATCCGCATTTCCATCATTGCCTCTTCCCTAAATACAGACCTATCTATGGAGCTGCCTTTTCTCCATCTATTGCTACAGCTCCTCCTCTTTTCCTCTCTGGTACCATTGATCAATCAATTTGCTTTGTGCCAGCCACTTACACTGCTCTTTAAATTTATTCTTAGTGTTACTATCAATAAGTGTGTTAGTATTGTCCAGAATCATTTATCTTTAGCTTTTGGTAGATTTCTCAGCCCTTCAAAACATAGCACATGTCCTAACACTGGTAAATGATGCTAATATCAGCTCTATATTTTCTGGCTAATGTGAAACCTCAACCACTAGTTGCTCACAACGGTATTGCATTTAATAAGTTACTTCTCTTCTAATACTTTTTAATGCGCTGACAAATTCTTAGATGACAACATGAAGCAAAAAGTATGAATGCAATGTAATGGTTACTAATTACAGTATTTAGACTTCAGTTTAGTGTAGTGTATATTACATATGCAGCTAATTATATTTACTTAACTTTACTAATTATCAGTCACTTGTCAGCTTCTAGGATATTACTTATTCTTGTTAGAGAGTTACGCAAAATTTCATACTTTCATTCATTAACAGGTAGTTACAAAAGATATTTGTTCAACATGTTTCTTGAACTTATAGGAAGCAATTTTGGAATAGTGGAAAGAGCAGTCTTAAAAATAATGAGAAGATATGACAATTGGTGAGTTACCAAACTTCTTTAAAGTCACCATCTCCCCCTAGAAAATGAGGGACAGTAATACCTCCACTGAACACTGAAAATGCAGAATTAAATATGGAGGCTATTAAACAACAAATGGCACCAACCAATCCGAATGGCGGCCAGCTCTGTAGAACTCCTTAGCCATACTGGTGTGTGTCACCACTGCTGACATCATAGAAATTGTATAAGAATTAAAACTAGTACATTTGGTAGCTACTTTATAACTTTTATAAATGCAACTTGTGAACAATGATCAAAAGTACCCCCACAGGAGGACAGCAAGGAGAATGCCAGCATGTATCACATTACTGGACTTACGGGACTCATGTATCATGAGGATGGCTTATGGTTGAAGTTGATGTCATTTGAAGATTCAACATCTCCTCTGTTAGAACATCACTTTTTTAAAATCAAGGAATAGGTAATATGATACAGTGGAAAGAAAATTAGAATCAGGTAGCCTTGAATTAAAATCTCTTCCTTACCATTCCCTAGCTATATTACCTGGGGCAATTTATCACCAAATTACAACTCTTAGCTTGCAAGGAAAACAAAAGGAATAAATATCCCCAATGCCTAGCACATAGAGGATACTCAATAAGTCAATGATGAATGAACCCATCTTTTATTATGAAAATTTTCAAGCATACAGCATATTTTAAATTATTTTACCATAAACACCCATATACACATTATCTAAATTCTACTGTTTACATTTTACCATACTTCTTTATCACATATCTGTCTATCTATCCATTCCTCTATCCATCCATCAATCTATCTTATGTTGATACATTTTGAAGTAAAATGCAGACATCAGTATATCATTAAGCAATTTTCAAAATGTTGTATTTGTGGAATGTTGTGTTTGTCCCTATATTGATTCCAAATTCCTCCCTCATTATTTTACTGGACAGTGCCTAGGATTTATAGTTGTTTATGATAGTTGACAATTGTATACTTTTAATTGCATAATCTAAATAACAGACTAATTAAATTTTAACTTAAGTGAAAAATAATGTTAGTAAAATAACAAAAATACCCAGCATGTGAGAGCATTATGTTTTAGTCCATAGATCTTGAAAAATATTGCACTTTAAGAAAGTAAGTTGTGTGTATACGATATTTAACATCATTATTAGGAATCTAAAGCATGAAATCATTTGATATGATTGATAGTTTATAAATAAATATTTAGCAAAAACAGTATCTTTTATCACATTTCCAATATCATTTCCTTAAATATTCTCATGAAAGAGAAGAAATACTAAACATATTTTAATAAAAAAATCAATGACATAAAATTCCATATATATTTAATAAAAAATAGACAAAACCTAGAAAGATTGGCTTTCTTATGAATTAGATTAACATGAAAGAGATCAAAATGACAATGATTTCTACTTAGAACATTTTGAGAAATGTTTTGAAAGCTATGTGCTAAGAGGTTTCAATGTACTTTTATAAGTACATAGTAAAACTTTTATGATCTTGGAGAACTATTTGGAAATATTTTCTTATAATCATTATTGTTGCATGAAAAGATTATTTTTAGGTTAAACATAAAGGACACTCTGGTGAATAAAGATATGAAGAAAATAAACGTTACCTCACTTCTCCTAGCCTTATAAATAAAGCAAACCTAAATGAATATCAGTTACTGAAATTTTAAAAATCATATAATGCAGTTTATCTTTCTGTATCATTTATTGTTTATCTAATTTTCATAACGAGGTGTTGCCTTGTAGTAGTAAGAATGTGAGCCTAATTATTAAAGAACTCTGCCTTCAGCATATAAATATGCTGTCCATTATCTGGGACAAGTTATCTAAACCCAGCCTCAGCATCCCCCTATGCAAGATGGGCATTATTAAACCTCATGGCTGTCGTAAGGATAAGAGTACATGTGCTCTTCTCAGAAAACTTGAGAATATTACATACTTCTGTTATATGTTCAAAAATATCCTAGAATTGCCAGAAAGTTATTGGTAGAGAAATAGTTGAAAGGGAATTTGTGTCGTTAGCATAAAAGCGAGAGACGGGATCAATTTACAAAAGAACACATGACCCAAAACAGATATAAGAGAAGTTCATGAAAGAGACTCAAGTGAATGACCTTCACTAGGGGGGTTCTCCAGTTCTCCAGTCTGAATGAGTGAGGAGCAAGAGTGGACACTAGTTCAATTGTGAGGATAATTATTTGGAAACTATCTTTGAGTTTATGTCCTAATCAATCCCTCCTTTCCCATGAGCTTGTGCTGAGACGGAAATAATACAATGTTTTACTCTCATGCCCACATTGTGAGTGTGGATCAAGTTCTGAGTGTCCTGAGGATTTCTAGAAATGATGGGAGCCCCTCTTCCATAAGGCAAACCTCCAGCTTATCCTCAGCCATAATGTTTTACATCCTCAAAATCATCAAAGAAACAGGCTTTCTTAAGTAGAATACATATTAACCTCTTCAGAGTGTTTAGAAAGACTTGCAGCCAATTTTTAAAAACTGACTCTTATGAACTAGAATAATTAGGGATTTTATAAAACATGAATATTATTATTTAAATAAAAACTCTAGAGCAGAATAGAAACAGCTAAAGCTGGAAACTATAGCTGAGGGATTCTCTTAAGATGCAGTGAAATAAAATATGGAAAATATAAGATGAAAGACAGATCCATGAGTCTACTGCTAGAATAACTAGCATTCAAGATGAATAGAAAGGAGTAAATGAAGAAGAGAAAAATTCCCAAAAAATATCCCAAAGCTGAATATGTACTTGAGTTTCCAGATTGGAAAAGACAACTGAGTTCTGATTAGTGAAAAATAAAATTAAATCATACCCAAAAAACTTTCAAAATCCATGGATAAAAGAAAAATTTAAATCATCCAGAGGGGGATGACTTGTGGAATAGTGACTTGAGGACTTCAGGGAACTTGCTCTCTTTCTAAAACAATGAAAATACAGGCAAAGCAATGGAAATCAAGCATTTGTTTTCAAACATTCTAGAAATAAACCAAATTAACAAAAATGGAAAATAACCAGTCACAGAACAAAC